AGTTTAAGATACAATTTTAGATATCTTAAATAATTTAAAAATTAAATTAACTTAATCCAACATGAAGTACCAGTGTTATGTTATGGTTATGGTTATGTTATACCGTTTGAAAGATTTCAATTTCCAATATAGTGTGGGAATTGAGAATCATCATTTTATTTAAAGCAGTTCTACATTTAACATCGCTCATATTATAAATGTATATGCATTTTGGCGTGAAGAGTAATTTAAAAAACAATAATTATTATTTTTAGGTAAACAGTAAATATTAGTATATTATATTAAAAAATTGTAGACATGGGTACAGGGCAACGTCTGTCGGGTCATCTAGTTTTAGGTAGATTTATTTATATTTATTATATTGATTTATAACTAAGAAAGGACAATAGATAAAATTAAATGTCGTAGTAAACCTTCGTAAAGAAACACCAATGACAATAATAATCACAAACTTCTTGTAATTTGACCGCATTTGTCAACCTATTTTTCAGCATAAAACAAATCGTCTGAACTCGTTTTTAATTACCCATCTGCCTATTAAATTCCCATTGTATTAATTTTTATTGTCCAATCGAAAAATATACGACACGAGTGAGTATAAGTTACGACTAGTCGTATTGTGAGAGAGCGACTCGATCTCGAATTTCCATTGTGGACGATAATTATTTAATACGCGTCGTTGTTTTCTACTCCACAAAACTGAATTGATTTAATTAAAGCGACGAACGATTTTCTCTTCTTTTCACGGCTAATTGTTTCAACATTTTGATTCACACTGATCTTTAGTAGAATACGTTTCTAGATTGTTGACATGCATAACACTACAATTGTAAATGATAGATCACATGGTAAGCGTTGGAATGGTTTGATAAACGGGAAAGATACCAGCACACATAGTACCGGAAAATACTTAAACCAAATTATTTATTTAGTACCTACGCAGGTCCATTTTAGAGAACATCATGTACCCTCTCGTTCCACTTTTACTATTGAACAATAAAAACAAATTTTATTAATCTATCCAAGGTCTATGACATAAAAGCTCAATTTTTCCCGTCTACTTTTCAAATTTCTTATCCTTTCTAGAATTTTCTGTGACTTCTAAATCTCTGTAAAATGTTTTTATCACGTGGATAGTAGTCAACCTTTGCATTGTTTTGACCCAAACTTTTAATTTGTCTTATTTTTCCTTATATAACCATCATACAAAACACAGGCATGAGTACAGGCACAACCCAGTTGCCTATATGTCTAAAAACACATCTCCAGTTGAGTTTCTTTTTCAACATTCGGATGCACTTTCTCAATTGTGACTTTTCTTCTAAGCACCAGATTTTTTTCCGAATAATTTTATCTTTCATTACAGTTCATGTTACTGATCTACACTGCTGCTCTAAAAGTACCAATTCTTAATTTTTAACACAAGACTGGTTTGAATGCTCATTAATAGAGATTTCTGTTTCTTTTGAAAACATTTTTGGATATAGAAATTTTAGCTATGATTGATTAATTTATGTGCGGATTTGATGACTTGTTTATTTATCTCCTTTCGATACACACAAAATTTTCAATTAGATAAATTTTTCCTCACTTTTTTTCCAACAACAATATTCTGCTTAATATATTTTTTCTATTTTCTGTTTCTGACAAATTTCTGAACTTATATGTGTGTTTGTAGGTGTGAGTGAGAGTATTTGTTTCCCGTATTTATACACATTATATTAATTTTTCAGATGAAGAATGGAACAACGACATCGAGTCTTCAGTGTTTCTGATGCACGAGCAGAAACGTTCGAAGCCTCTAATGACCTCCACACCAGGAATAAATTCGGGAAAGAAATCCGGCGTCCAGTACGACAATCTGGACTACCACCATCACAATCAGCATCCTAGATCAATCAGTCCAGAAAAACATATTAGATATCGGGAACAGCAACAACGATATAATGAGAAGGAACGACATCTTAGTCCTCGCAGGTAATTGATAAATTGATTAAAAAAAATGGAATTAGTGTTAGATTTTATGGAATATAATGTTATTCATGTTATTGAAAGATCATTCTAAACATCATCATATTTATTACCTAGGTATAAGGACTACACTCCTAGATACAGAGATGATATCATACCTTACAAAGACGAGATGCGTTATAGACAAAATTTGGATATCGATGAGTTGTACCAAGAAGAAGAACCTTATCCCGAAAAGGAACCATATAGAGATCCTTACATTGCAAATGAAATGCCAAAATTCAGACGTGAAAAATCCATGATTAGGGCTGCTGATGAAGATGTATATGAAAACGAAATGCATGATAAATATAACCAAGATTACAGGCAGGATTACAGGGAACCAAGTGGAAGGTAATTATTTTTTGTAATCTGCAACATCGATTGCACCAATCAGATCTTTTTCCCAAAAAAATCAATTTCTATTTATTTATTAAAGGTATAGAAACTCATCTTACATGAAACAACATCGCGTGGCTTCGCCGACCAGATACCAAACTAGAGATTACGCTGACGAAGGGTACCCAGTAAAACGTGCAGAGCCTCAAGACTACAATAGCAAATATGATGACAAAAAACGCTACAGATCACCACAAACCAGACCTGTAATGGCAGAAGACAGACAGAGAGCTCCTAGTGTAAATTCCGGAAATTCCGGAGGCAGTGCCACCATGATGGCATCGCCTAGAGATAGATTTAAGGATGCTAAGGAGAAGTTCCAGATGATGGAACGTGCTAGACAACAAGATTTGGCCGCGCCTAGGAAACCAAAAAAGGAAAGCGGAAGGTGAGCTAGAAATTAATATAATGGATATGTAGAATGATTTTTTTTATAAATCTATAAAACATATGTGAATTATAAAAAATATCATTCAACATTTTTAACAAAATATCATTCAGTTTTGAAGTCATTCTATAAATTTTAAAATCTTAAGAGCAACTGTAGACGTACGTGGATGTATAATATATGCATCTATTAATAAACCAAAACATTTTTGATAAAATAAAATTCCGCCCAACAATAAATTCTTACATCTTACCTTCAATTTCCAGGGCCTGGAGTTCTGACGAAGAGGACGCCGCCAACTACCGGCCGCGGCCCAATTTACGCAGACACGTCAGCTCTGCAGCTCCTCATCATATGAACTCAAATTCGGGCAAGATTCTGCCAAAAATAATACCGAACATGAAATCACATCATCAACAGTCGATAAATAATCCACAGCCACATCCCAGAATCGGATCACAATATGAGCATGAGAGAAGAATGGAAAGAATGGTACCCAGCAAATCCTTAGGAAATTTGGCCAAAGGATATAGACATAGTTATGCTGAGCCTCAGCCGATTGTGAGAAGACAATTGGGAGGCAGTAGAGTTGGCATAGCTGCTGTACATCAATATTGATAGAAGGAAGATATAGAAGATTTATCTTAAGAACTAAACCACACATGCAAGGAGAAAGTTGTAGAACATAGTAAAAATATCAGTCAGTAAACTATTTACTGTTGTAAGAATATATTCGTATACATTCTTTGCCTTGAAAGAGTGTATCTATAATGAATTGCTACAAACTCCAACAAAAAATATTAACCCTTGAACTACGAACGTCGTCTATAGACGACATCCGCACGACGAATTGTGTGTACAAGTGTCGCTTATACATGCTTCAAAACTTGTCACTATGAAGTGAATTATTCAGAATTCTGAGTTTGTTTTTCTGACTACCTGTGTGTACGGTTGTCGCCTACAGACGACATCCAGTGTGTCGACCTATGCTTCAAGATTTACCGCTCTGAGTTAAATTGAGAATTCTCGCCATTGAGAATTCCAAAATGTTGGTATAACTCTTGATACTTTAAAAGTGTAATATTTATTTTTTATTGATAGTGAAAGTTGGGCGGCTTGCTGGCTCGTACAGGAGTGTCACTCCTGCGGAAGACACTCCTATAGCAAAAGGGTTAATAATTCATTTTGTATAATGAATTAACAATATGATTTTCAGACTATTTTCATTACTAATGAATTTTTAATAAAAATTCTTTAATATTATATCGCTTGTTAATAACTGTAATTAAATATTTTATGATATTTTGTGCTTATGTTTAAGTCTAATTATGAAGTTCCATATTTCATTCTAAAATCAAAACCACAATGTGGTAAGATAAAGCAAAAAAATTATTATTCGCAAATGTATGGTTTAAAAAATGTAATATAGTTTGTATTTAATATTAGCTTTTATAAGTCTATAATAATGAGATTACAAATCAAGTGTGTCCGTTACACTATACTGCAATCGCAGTTTAAGCTGTAGTTATATTTTCAAAATTGTATAATATTAACATAATTTAAGCAAAATTATTTAAATGTATTGTATAGAATATTTGTCAAAATTATTGAATTTTAACTGTTAACTGTTTCATAAATACTAATGATTTGATACTTAAATATAGTACTCATACATCACTAATTGGTTGAAAAATGTATATATGAATAAACTTAATATAGATTATCGAAGGTAAAAAGTTAAGAAATAATAAAAATAAAAGTTAGTATTCTTGTTAAAGATTTAAATATTCTATAGACCTGTACTACTTTGTCTATTTTTACTAAAACTGCATAACTGAATATCAAAAAAATTATTGAAGTATGAAATTATTAATAAATATGAAGAATTATGCGCCTTATTTGCATAGCATAATATAAAACAAAACTAAACCTATATATTATTTACAGCTGACATTATAATGTCAAAGTCGCTTGAGAGATTTATATTTTTCTAGATTTAAGTTGTATATAGTGTAATTGTAAGAATGAACAAAAAAAAAAGAACATGTAATGTTTTCAAGATTATAAAAAATTGGGGTTTTTACATTTGTAATAAATAAAATAAAAAAAAACAAATGCTTGAAGAGTTTTATTAACAAATTATATCACAGAAGTATTTTTGTAGAGATCTATTATATACATCACAGCTAGTACAAGTCCATTATTGTAAATAAATATCTTATTTCGCATTCACAATTATTATACTACAGAAAATTTTTTACATTTATCTTTCATTTAACAATGAAAAAATATACAGAAAAAATCAGACTACGTTTATGGTCTGGTATTCCATGCAAACGTTTAAACTAAATTATTTCTTTCCCTACTAGAGAAAATATCAGAAAAACTTTGGCTTTTGACATTCTGAAATTTTAGCCGGGAACGTCGGACGATAGATGATTCAGCATTTTGCAGAAAACTGCAAAATAAAAATGTGTTTAACTATATCAGATTAAACTAATTTATATTAATAAAATATTATCGCAATTAAATCTTACCTGTTATGTTAGTAAATCAAACATGCATTGGTACAAAAATAACCATGGACTCAGCTGTGATTTGAATATTTTTGACCAGATAAGAAAATAAGATAAGGATACATTTTTATTTTAAAAAATAGAAGAAAAGGAACACATGCACCAAAAAAGAAAAGCATGCAAAGTAATAAACCAAACTATCACATAATTTAATTAGAAAAACAAATACAGTGGTTACCGTAATATTAAATCAGATAAATAAATAAAATACTGTGGTACCCGAGTTTAATTTGTTCCGTAACTACGCTCGTATGTCGAATCGCTCGTATCTCGAAGCTTTTTATTTATATAAATATATTGAAATGATAATTCGTTTTAGAACTGTGGCATTTGTGAAATTTTTTTGAATATCAAAAAAAAAATTACTATTTATTAATGTAATTATTGTTTTTTTCATGTTTTTTGTTATTTTTAAAAACATGTTTCGTTGAACACCTCCTGTATGATCACAGTACATATAATATCTCGCCATCCTCACATTTTTCAATAATTTCATGCTTCAACTCAAGAGACATGGCTTTTTTCTTATAACCCATAGTTATAACAGCAAATAATATTTTGTAAAAGTACAAAAAGCAAAAAACTCGAACTAAAACACATAACTGTACAATCATTATTAATAGTTAGAATTTCAAATATTAAAATAGTCTTCGATATATTCGCGTGAGAAAATCGTATTACACAATTAATATTAATATATAATTGAAATGACTGACTAAAAAATAATTTAACAAAATAAAAAAAATAGTTAAAATATTTCTTTGATAGGAAAATCATTTGATGCCAAATTAACGAAATTCTGCATATTTTCATTTTGTCATTTTTCAAGAAAACTTTACTCTACAAAGCTCGTATCTCGAATTTTGCTCATATATCGAAGCAACCATTCACTCCTTTAGAGATTCGTATCTCAAAACACTTGTATGTCAGTTCACTTGCAATCGAGATACTACTGTACATTATATTTAAAAGTTAAATCCCATTTATAAAATCACTGATTTTTATAACTTTTGGCCAATAAATATACAAATAAATATTAAATATAAAATAATACTGAGTTTTTAAAATCAACGCATTAAAATAAATAAAAAGCCAAATTATAAAATTAGTATTGAATTATTGTACAGAATAAATAAATAATAAGATGCGTTACTATAAATTTTAAATACATTTTTTTGCTTCGTATGACGTTTTGACCTTTGAATTTTCCATGCAAAATGGTAAACATTAATTAGCAGCACTGAAAACAATCATTCCAATGTTAGTTGAAAAGTAATAATCTACAATGTTATATATTGAAATACAAGTATTCCAAGAAAATTTACTTTTAAAGACAACAGTTTAAAAGATAACTCAAATATTATGCGCATTTAACCCATTCAAGACCGATTTTTTTTAAATCAATAGTATCTGTGAAGTATAAAAAAACAAAATTTGACGTTTTTATTGCACACCAAAACATTTTGTTTGGAATTTCAAAATTTACATTTTTAGAAAAAATCAATGTAAGAGAACCCATATTTATCTAATACTATTTTAGAAATTTATCATCAACAGCAATAGTATCGCCTTGCATTATACCGCCTAAAAGAATAATGTAAGAAATAATTGATTTCCTGTTCATATTATTTTCTTCATTATTCAACTTGTTTAAAATCCGCACCTGTTCGTAATAAAAAATTTCTGAGGAGCGAGTTGCACACACGGTGTGCAATCATTTTTTTTATGCATATTTGCTTATGAATTGGGTGATTTTCGTTGTTAATCAGTTTCTTTTGTAAGAAATGAACAATATAAAAAAAAAAACAAAAAAAAAATCGCTCCTGTTGACCGCGTCTCGAATGGGTTAAGGTTATCATTAGTTTTTCATTCTCAAAAAGCATAAGCAAACAACCCAAATACAAGGAGAATTAATAAAATTAAAATTACCTGTCTAGATCATTGTTCTTCTTTACGGGGCTCCTATTTCTGCCTGATCTGCGCAGTTTGACCTGACGCAACATGTCCACAGATACCTCCAAACTGGGCAAACTTCTGCGATCAGTTGATGAACTCGTCTAAAAATAGTAATAATATGTAAATAATTTTAATATACTAAATTCTGAGAAACAAAATGAGAAAAAAAAAACATTGACAATTTTTTACCATTTCTTCCAACAATATATGACTTAATTGGTTAAGGACTACTTTTATGGGATCTATTCTGTGAATATGATAATGTATTCAATAAATGTTTATTATCAACTTCCCATAGGTTAAATCATAGTAAAAAAGTTTTGAATTTTTTATGTTTCAAAACTTACTAAACATTTTGGCAAACCATGGAAAAATTGATGTATGTATGTGCGGATACAATTTTTCGTCTACGATTCAACTGATTTGAATGAACGAGAAAAGCATTAGATTTATATTTACAGGAAGACGTGCTGATTAATTTTTGGAATTGGCAGGTCCAGCCGTTTCAGAGATACAAAGCAAAATAAATAATATAATCAGAATGTTTCAAAAAACATTTCACTTATATTGACGGAATGAATGACCAATTATATTTTTTCAAAGGCAGGTCGACCGGTTTCGGAGATGCAAATAAAAAAAAGTTGAAAAAAATTCGCGTTTGGTGGTCAAGAATGATCATTACAAAGCATTATTATTAATTCATATACAAATGGATTCATTGGTAGCAGGTAGACAGGTAGATAAATGAACAGACAAACAGACAAACAGGTAAACAAGTAATCATGTAGAGTTTTACTTTTAGAGTTAATGAATAATATAATCAGAATGTTTCAAAAAACATTTCACTTATATTGATGGAATGAATGACCAATTATATTTTTTCAAAGGCAGGTCGACCGGTTTCGGAGATGCAAATAAAAAAAAATGAGAAAAATTTGCGTTTGGTGGTCTAGAATGATCATTACAAAGCATTATTATTAATTCATATACAAATGGATTCATTGGTAGCAGGTAGACAGGTAGATAAATGAACAGACAAACAGGTAAACAAGTAATCATGTAGATACTTTGTAACATTTTGCAAGTCAAATAACCACCTACAACTAGTAATTATTATTATTGTTAGTTTACGTACCATTCTCACCTGGCGTAGTGCCGGTTTCCTTAATTTAACCTTCAAGATTTCATCTAAAGTTATAGCAGGTGGCCTTGGTTCATCGATCTTATCTAACAATTTATCTCCCAAAGTTTCCTTTCTGATACCAGATTTCTTTAATGGAGTGGAAGTTACGATGGGTAGTGATGTTGGAAGAGGAGGCGGCGGCGGCGGCGGAGGTGGCGGTGGCGGAGGCGGTGGTGGAGGAGGAGGAGGCGCTGCTGTAGTTTCTAAATCCGCAGGAACATTTATAGCTGCAGTAAGTATTTGCTTCTGCTGTAAGTTACTGGAAAATAGGAGAGTTCAATCAGTTGTTTTATATCTTAATGTAGTTTTTATAACTTCCGGTAGGGTAAGTTATAGCAATCGCAAAAAATTCGACAATGAAAATTTTTACATACTGTTTTAGAGGTTTCTGAACATTTTGGCCGATACGAAGCAAAAAGTGCCAAAAATGGATTCAGTTTTTGAGAGAACGGAGCGTCCGATTAGTATGATTCAAAGAATATTTTATTTGTATTGACGAAATGAACTGATGAAATGTTTGGAAAGGCAGATCTAGCAGTTTTGGAGATCCAATAAAAAAGTGACAAAAAATACCATTTGGCGGACAAAAATGATCATTGATTCAAATTATCGCGTATTTTATGAATATTTTAATAATAATAACATAATTTTCTTCATTTTTCTATGAGTTCCGTACCATTGTTTATCCGTTATACTGCAACGCGGCGCTCATGCGATTCGATATTTCGTTTCTACGCAGCTAAGGTATCGCGATTGCTTTGAAAAACAGTTCAAAATTTCCAAAATATGTCAAAGTTTAAAAAAAAATATAATTTTTCAAAATTTTTTTCAGAATCTCGAAGATCGATTTTTTTATCGAGTTTTAAAAGAAAATTTAATCCTTTTTAAAAATTCAAATTTTTGGTTCAAGAAGTTCTAGTAATTCGCCTTAAGGCACGATGCCATGCACTACTAGTTTCAACATATTGTTCATTTATATGTGCATATTAGCCATTATTGTAACATAATCATGCCCGACTTATAATTTTAATAAAATATGTATTTAACAAAAAGAAAGAAGAAAGATCGCAAGTTGCTACATAATTTTGAAGTAAGAAAGCTAGTGCCATAAAACTGAAGTATAAGCATAAAATCTACAATATTATTTAATCAGTCGATATAAGTATTGTTTTTATTGTATTTGGCTACAATTACTTAAAATACTCAAAAAATATTGATGTAATGTGATAGTAGCAAACTGCAAACAGCAGCATTACTGATCAAGACAATTACTGCCCTTATCTTCTTTTACAAGACAGACAATAGTCTACCTGAGACAAAAACTGAGATTAAATCATATTTCTCAAGCCATGAAAAAAAAGCTGCATAAAAAACAATGCTAAAACTAAGCTTTTTTCTCCTCAACATACCTTCAATGAATATTGTTAAAAAGATAAATAAATATAACTTATGTTATTCAGACATATGTACATAATATTGTGTCATATAAAGTTACTGTATAAAGCCAATTAAATAAAATAAATAAACCAATCAAAAAAAAAAATAAATAAATCAAAATAAATAAAATAAAATAAATCAAATCAAATCAATTAAATCGAATAAATCAATGAAATTAATCGAATAAAAATAATCAAATTATTCAAATTAAACAGTATAATTTAATTTGATAATTTAAAACTATTTGATAAATGTTCAAATATAAATACAGTAATAAAACTGGATTTCCGTTAAGTCTTAAAATAATTCCTGTTCACACAATGATCATGGTATTTATTTTAAGGATTTATAGCCAGAATTATCTCAAATGTTCAAGTTATAGAAAAGATCAATTTAAAAAAAAATTAAATATCATGTCTGTGTATTAATTAAACATAAAATATTTAGTTTGGAATATTTTTCTTTTGATCAAGCACAATATTATGAAAATTTATTTAAATTTATAGACTTATTTAAATTTGTCAACAATGTTTAATAATAAAAAATAAATTTAAAAACTTCATACTATTTATGAATTATCATTCACATCAATCTTATCATTTAATTATTATTGAGGTATTCAATTTTAATACTTCACTAATTTTTTGTTATTGCTGTAATATTTATCTATTAGTATTCACAACTTGAATTAATAGATGCTAACATAATATTTTTAATTACCTTATTAAATTATCATACTTCTTCGTGAGGTGATTCATTCCTTCAAACAGATTATTTATCAAAATTTCCTGTAACACATTTATTAAAAATTATAACTCAGGAAATATATGTTTAAATTTTAAAAAATCAAGTGAACATACCTGTTTAAAGATCTTATCCTCTAATTCAGAAATTCTATTACTGTACTGGTTGCTAATACCAGAATGAAGGTCCGGGATGTGTAAAGAATTAACACCTCTTTTTAATGTTGAGCAAGTCTAAAATAGCCAAAGACAATTTTATATATTTTTGAGATAATTGATAATAATTTAAAGGATGACAATTTTAATGATATCTATTAGAGTAAATAGATTAAAAAAATTAAATTCATTTATTGTGAAAATAAGCCGTTTTTGCTTCATAGATTTTACAATTTTGAATACAATGGTTAAAAACAAAATTAATCCTGCCCATCAGCTTACCATGATTTGTATTTGCTTTTAACTAATTAACTGCTAAGGCTAATTAGTTAAAAACAAAGGCTAATTAGTAACTGCTAAAGGCTATAGAGAAAGCATTAACTTTGTAAAAAAATATACATAAAAAAAAATCAAAATTTAATAGGTATTACAAATTGAAATAATCAGTACTGACATTTTTGCCTGTTAAAAGAAGTAAAATATGGCAAGATTTTTTTTTTACCAAACCGTTACCAGTTACTAATAATTACTACATAAATAAAAAGTATCACAATTCATTTACCAACAACCAAATCCATAGCACAGCTCTGTTGAGCAAAGTAATTAACTGAAACTGAATTGCAGTGTTAGAATATAATAAAGCAATAAAATAAAATAGTACAAAAGAATTGTATAAATTCTGCATATTACTAACAAATAAAGTTATAAAATCATGTAAGTTTGTTTTGACCAATCTTTGTATATTTATTTACATGTTGCATTGTATTGTATTGTAGCATTTACCAGTCAATGTAAAATTGCATTAAATAGTATAAACGCAAAGAAATTTGATTAGTAATAGGTAAAAAAAAAACTAAAAAACTGGTTAAAAACATACCATAAAAATGTGTTACAAATCACTCATGCAATTCCATCACTCATGCAATTAAGAACAAATTGTGTCTAAAATAGCTTACCTTAATCCCCATCCAACTACAAATATGCCCGATTCGAGATACATTAGTGGCATGACACATTTCTGAAATTCAATTATTATAAACAAGTTACAAGGTCCATATAAACTTGTAAAGCACTCCTTACCTATCTGTTGTCCATGATCATCTGAACCTATTGTAGAACAATTTTTCACACCATCACTATCACTGGATTTGTTCTCTGTTTTTTCAAAAGGAGGCGGATTTTTGCTACATGCAGTTAAATCAAATGACTTACTAGTGCGAGCTAGAGATTTAATATTCTTTAGTCTTTTATCAAGCACAGCAAGAAGACCATCTTGGGACACATTTGAATGAATGTTGACATTGTTGACTGCTATAACATTTTTGTCCATTGCTTCAGAATGCAAGACTTCTGGTTCAGTCGGTTTTATACTTTTACTTTTGTCACTTTGAATGTTCATTATTTGTGGTTTTGCACAAACACTGTCATTCATGCTTTTAGATTTTTTGGAAACCTGACTAGATGTTGGTGATGTATCGTCCATGGAACTATATTTTCTCAGCCTCTTTCCGCTATGAACAAAGTCATCTGAGTCCATTTTTTCTAAAGGTTCATGGTTATAGAGATTATCTTGCTTCAATTCTAGACTGTAAGACGAAGGACTATTGTTAATAGCTTCTACTGTTTGTGATCCCTGGTCTATTGATAATGGCGCTGAATTCGTAGTCGGTGACAATAATCTAGGGCAAGCACTTGCTGATCTAATAAGTGGACCGCGAACAGCATTTGAACCCTTTCGAAATTCATCATTGACAGGTCTAGATCTAGTAACAAGCTGATAAAATTGTTCCAAAAGAACAGTTGAATTTGTGCGTTTAGTTCCTTTCTCCTGGTCGCATTTAGCAGGCATCCTTGTCAAAGTGTCATGGGATTTTGGTGACTTCGAAAAGTTCTTGACGATTGCATTGGTATTTATAATGCCAGACCCACCAGACAAATCGTTTAATTTTATTGTTTTATTGCCAAGAGAATGAACAATCTTAGGATTGATCTTCTTCCTTTTCAGTCTCTTATGCTGCTTGGTTTTCCCCATTTTTATTAACTCAAATTTAAACCTAAAAGTTAATAATTTTTATTCAATAAAAAAAAAGGAAGGTAAAGTATTGTAAATTTGGCACAAATTGTACAGTTCCAGTGAATAATATTATCAATATTACGGCAGTTATTGTAAGCATGATACAATTTCTTGAGAATTGATGCCAAAACTTCAAGAAAAACTCAATTGATTCAATTAAAAACTATTTCATAATTTGTTGCACCATTTATCAAAACAAATCTGTAACATATCGGCAAACAACCAAGAATAAATGCAAAAATCTCAAGTGACTGCAAAAAAGCACAGTTCTGAAAGAGGCAAACAAGACAAATTTTATTTTGAATGACGTAGCATATAGTGAAATATGCATGGAATAAATATTATTTAATAAAAGCAATTAAATCAGTGATTTTCAAAATAATCCATAAAACTGTAAAGGGTACATGACAACTTTCAAAGAGACTACGGTAGTGGATAACACACCATGATAATACCTATTCCCTTATATTATACTTTCTATATTGAACAATTACATACTATATAAAGAGACATACAAACTAAAAAAAATACTGTACGTTTCAATAAAAATGTGTAAGATGCTGCAAATGGATTTGATTTGTAGTCGCAATATGTTTGAACTCATAAAGACCCTTTTATGCTAGCTGTTGAAAGACATAGTATTACTGGATACTAAACATTGAAATGTATAAGATAGGTCAATAATTTGGATTGGACATCATTAGCCAAGAGATGTACAATTAAACCTTACAAAATTGTAGCCAAATGTTGATAAATAAACATTTACTTACCACTTACTTCATTGTTTTTTACTTTAAATCTTTAATACTAAATTTTATTTTAGTTAGAAGTTTATATAAAAAAAACGATATCGAATAAATAAGGGAGCCATGGCAAAGTCCAAGGGGTCCAAAAAAAGCTAGGGGGCCTATGAATGAAACAGTATCTCATACTGTTCACAACTCCTGTATTTTCATCGCATCAAATAAAATGCAAAAATGTCAAAAATAATTTAAAATTTCTTACCATTATACGATATAATAGTCTTCCTTCTAAAGATCTGACAATACGAGCCAGTCAACGACGTACAAATCATATCAAAGTAAAAAAAGTATATTAAAAAAAGTTACTATTTCAAAAGGACATTGTGTAAAGGTTACGTGTCACGGCTAATACGATCAATTTTATTTCTGAAACTTTTAATTTTGAAACAATGCATTAAATTTTACTGAAATACTAAAAATTTTGATTTTAACAGATGACAAACCGGCGTGTGAGATAATAAAATGTGTCCATAGCGTAAAGCCGACTTCAGACCAGTTCCAACATTGAAAAAATAAAAATAGAAGTGTCAATTTTGCGCAATGACAGTTGACAAACAGTTTTAAAAATGACTGCGAAACAAAATATTAAAAGAATACTCTTTTTCATTTAGAATTCTTTCTAGTGCTTTACTACAACTGTTATTAAATATGTCATATTAATGTGAATAATTACCCAGTCAAAGTAAAAGAAAGGGTGTTGAAATCATCAGTTTGATTATAATTTTGAAAGTCCAACATTGTATTTACTTGTATTTATTATTATTATTTTAGTATTTAATTATATTCTATTGTTAGCGATTATTTTGTGTATTAATATAATATTGTATTACTATTGTACCAATTATAGTAGATAATAGCAGCTTTCTCGTGGGTAATTATACAATGATTATCAGCTGATATATAAATTAGTTATATTAAAGGCAACACATGTTCATTGAACCTTATTTACATACACGCATATTTAGTTTAATCTTATTAGTTTATAAAATTATTGTGAATAATGTACATTCACGATGAGTCAAAGAAATTGACTTGTAATATAGAATATATAAGATAACATAGATAATGATTAGCATTTGCAGTAACGTACCTAAAAATTATACATTTTTTTCAAAATTGTTATGCATGTAAATATGATGAAATGGACAGAAGTTGGAGTTTGCTTGAACAAAGCTTCAAAGAAACTGATGAAACAACGACTATAGATTCATGCACAAGTGGTGAAGAAGACGATTATGAATTCCCACCTGTAAAACGTCCAAAATCAAATTTCTCCACACCATATAGTAGTCACAAAAATGTTACAAAACAAATCAGTTTTCAAAACAGCAATGTGTTACGTGCATATAACAGTAATCCAGTTCCAAATACTAGTTCAAGTTGTCAATTATTTAGCAATGATGATATTAATGATGTATCATCTGATGATCTCTTTGATGATAAAGATATATCACCTAGCTCGAGTCCAGCTCATTCACAATTTGCACAGACACTTTGTACAATAGCATCAACCACTGCATTTGCGACAAACACACCACCAAAAGTTATTAAGAAAAAATTCGTTAAGAATGGTTTAGCCATGAAATGCCAAGCACTAATGAATCAGCAAAAATCTGCTATGTTTTTATTAAGTTATCCTGATGCAGAAGATAATAGTATAGAGTTGACCATCAATAAAAAATCTGAAGAATATGGAAAATGCTTCATACAGAGTGATCACAATATTGTAATACTGAAGCCAGAACAAGCAAAACAATATAGCACTGGTGATAGACTTAAAATAACCAATAGTACAGAATTTATTTCTATAAAACCATCAGATTCAGTACTAAATGTATATTTAAATGTCTGTCATATTGACTCAATAGACAATAAAGATGAAAAACAATTTAGTTTAAAAACAAAATGACTTGAATTCTATTTATTCGATTTATTTCTTCAGTGTATAAAATAATGTACTTAAAATAAATACTAGTTAACAAATTTTGTTTTATATCATTTAACAGAAATTAAAGCATAACATCTAGGTGATATAACAGGATCAAAAAGTTTGATCAAATATGTATTATTATAACCATTCTCCAACAAGTACAAGTAACGATCTAAAACTATAATTAATTCTAAAATAGGTGCAAAGCACATTTTCAAAGCATGATAGCTTTGTAATTTTAACCAATTTTCTTCATGATTTTTTATAAGATCCTCTAAAAGTTCATCTGAAAATTTCAAGCCTAAGTTCTTTCTCTCTGAAACTGTATTTACATATTCTGAAAATGTTTTACATTTTGCGCCAATTCTGCCTACATGCACATCCAAATTTTTGTCACAATGTTTATGGATCAGTAATTCCAGAACAGCCCTATATAGTAGACTTTTATTTAAATTTTCTTTCAAGTGCACTTTACGATCTATTGATTGAGAAGCTAGCATTCTAGCATTTCTGCCTAATGCAAATTTATCCATATGTAACAAATTGCTCATTGGAAAACCATAATTATTGCTAGTTGAATCTGTATCATCATATTGCTCGTCCAATAAATGGTAACAACATCCAACATTTAAAATGGATTTGACATCATTGTTGCTACTATATATTCGTAAACTAGAGGAAGCCAAGTTGCCACAAGTATGTAGACCAGTCATGCAAATCCCAGAAAATTCATCATTTGGATAAGATTGTTTCACTAATTCCTTTAAATTGGTTGATTCATCTACATATTGAGTTATTAGTTTATATAATTCATCTTGTGATGAATTACTAATAGCCATGTCATTGAGATGTCGAGACAGTTTACTTGTTATGCCTTGCCAATGTTTCTAATTTGATAGAAGAATAATTATATTTTATAAATTATTCTACTAAAAAATAAATGATACCATGCAAAAGAAAATCTAATGTACTATATATTAAATTAAAAAAAAAACTATTTAATGTAAATAAAAGCAACAGCAATTCAATATTTGTTTAGTAAGCAAAACTATTAAAGATTGAACGTTTGTTTTATTGGAAGATTCTCTTAAATTTGAAGTTGTAGTGAATTACCTTCAATTTCAAATCTCTTTTTGCTGCACCATGAGTGTTCGTCTGGTTTGAATCAACTCCTATTACTTTAAGCTTATATTCCATTGCTAAGAGTGATGATAAATAACCTTTACCTCCACCTATGTCAACGACAGTCAATGATGATTCTGAATTTCTGCATAAAAAGTTTGTAATTGCACTTACAATATTCACCTGGATAAACAAAATTAGATTTTATCAGAAACATAATTATTAAAATATACATTTAACTAAATTTACCTCATGAGTCTTTTTGTCAGACATTATTTTTTGTAGACCTTCTAATGGTAAATAATATTTATTTATATTTAATTTTAAACACAAATCAGATAATGTAGGGCATACATCACCATCAAGTAATTGCAAAGAATTTGTACTCTTCAAGAAATTTATTGTGTTTTTATAACCAGAATTGAACTGAGTTCCAGAATATATGTCATGAAACAAAGTCATAAATGCTTCATGACCCATATTTTCAATCTCGATCCGAACATCATTAGGTACAAACTTCAACCAATAATTATCTGTTAAAAAACTCACCATGTGAGAGTTAAGAAATGGTAGAAACGGTTTGACAAATTCTACAAGACTTAAAAGTTTCTTTTGTACTAGAATTATTTGCTCCATATTTTAAAAATTTATTAAGTCTTTGTCTGGGTAATCACATTTAATCTTTAGATATGATAATGATTTTTTATAGGAACTTCTTATGCATCGTAATGAAGCTTCCAAGTCTATATTATCAACATTAGTTTGTGGAAATTCCTTAATCAATTTCACTGTTTCTTGAAGAGAATGACAAGCTTTCTCTGAACATTGTAGCATGTTTTGGTCTTTTAGACCAATTAATGATTTAATAACGCTATACATAAAGCCTAGTTCAGCTCCATATTCAGCCCCTCGATGATAACCTAAATGAAACCCTTCTAAGTTGCCATCGCTTTTACCTTTTTCTACTCCGTCCTTGTATCCTTAAATAGAATTAAATATCATTAAGGATAAAGTGAAATTATAAGCAAGGAATTAAAACCTTTTTGGTAAGAAGTATCTTCGCACATCAATAAATTGTCGAAAACATCATTAATATCCATTTCACGTTTCGTGTGTACATACTTGTCAAACATCGTATCAGTAGAGCACGTGCTCCTCACGTGCTGCTGTTCACGTCATTATTTTCGGTTTATAACACGCGGTATCGTTTTCTTTATACCATCCATAACTGACTTCATTGATAACGATGAATTAATACGCGCCAGATTTAATCGCGCATTGTGCATAGATAAACTAGAGGTGTAGGGCACCGTGCCTTAAGGCAAATTGCTGGAACCTCCCGTACCATTTTTTATTTTTTTTTAAAAGAAATTATTTTTTTTTAATCTTTGAAAAATTTGATTTTTGAGAAATTTAAAATTTTTGGTCAAAAAAACTTTTGGAAAAAAATGTTTTTTTTTTTTATTTTGAAATATTTTGGAAATTTTGAACGTTTTTCCAAAGCAATCGCACTGCTTTAGCTGCATACAGACAAATTATCGAAGCGCGTAAGCGCCGCGTCGTCGTCTAACGGACAAACGATGTTACGGAACCCATAGAAATGTAAACAGAATTGCTACACATTATTAAAATCTCTATAAAATACCTGATAATTCAACTTACATATGTCTAATGATTATTTTTGACCGCCAAATGGCATTTTTTTTACTAGATCTCCGAAACCGCGAGACCTGCCTTCCCAAAAATTAAATCAGTTCTTTACCTTGTCAATACAAGTAAAATGTTTTTTGAATTATTAAAATCGGACGCTCCGTTCTCTTAAAAACTGAGTTATCGTTTTTAGCACTTTTTGTTCCGTATCTTCGGAATCGCTGGAACCTGCCTTTGCCAAAAACTAAACAGCATGTCTCTCCCCGTCATTAGGAATCGAATGTTTTTTGAATTTGCCAAAATGGATGTATGTGAATTGTATTTTACACACACATCCATTATGGGAAGTTAATAACTATATGTTTAATCTTCACAAACTTCATCAAAAACAAATTTTTGAAATATTGATATATCTTATTCAATTTAGAAAACTGTATTCTAATTTTGCACGATTATCAGTCGCTCATCATGCCAGCATATCAACCAATATAATTAAACTAAAATATAAACTGATCTCAGATCGATCTGATTCTCAAAAAAAAAAAAAAAAAAAAATAAGTACTTAAAAAAAATATGTATATACTAGCGTAAGCAAACAGGTCAACACATGCTTGTTTAATGGTATCTGTCAGAATTGGAAACAATTCAATGAATAATGAAACTAAAAAAGAATAAAGAGGAAAAAAGCAATCCATAATAATAAAAGAAAAATTCCCCTATGCTTAAACTGTCGATTTAATAGCCATAAATTCTTGTTCCTGAAATTAAGTTCATAAAATAATTTCATTATTTTTCAATTAATTTAATCTAAGGCAAATTTGGGCTTTTGATTCTTTATTCTGTAGATGTTTAATATAAAAATTAAGCCTGACAACAGAAAGAGCAAACAGAATATTTTAGTCAGGCCACATGTCCAATTCTATTTAACTCATTTGAACCAAAAGATTCTTTATTTAGGACCCCTCATGTAAAATTGAATTGTAACAATATTATATTTGCAAAAAAAAATCGTTCAAGCATTAAAATTTATGATAAACTTGATTTGACTTTTTTCCACAAAAATATTAATGTTATAAAGTATACAAATTTAACAAGTCATAAATGATAAATTTTGAAATATGCGGTTGAACAAAAATAAAATGAACAAAAACGTTTCTTATAATTAATAGATACCAGAAAATCTCAGGTAAATAATTGTGACGAGATAAATTAGTATCTATTAAGTATCTCAGAAACAATAAATACATAATATATATAAAAGTACGTCATCTTTAACTCTGCATGGAGCAGGAAAAATACAAAGTTTTTTTTTTGTTTTAAATTCTATTAAAGAAACTGCACCCCTCAGTAATTTTGGTAAATAGCTGAATTGGCCTAAATTTACAGTTTAAATAACAGAGCAGCATTTGTAAACAATGTCCTAATACCCTTGCATAATGAGTTCAAAATAAAATTAATTGTATATTTTTCTGTCAATAGGTCCAGGTATTAGACTAATTGAGGAATGTGACTATGAAATCATATAAGGAACAAGTTGATCATGTAAGTTCATTTTTCTCTCTATCATAATATGAACCTTGCTCTTAGTCAATAATTTAAAAACAAAAACACTACAGTGTTTCCATTCGGTTCAGTCATAATTAATAACCATCAACAATTAGACGTCTTTCTACTCTCTTTTACAATGCAATGATGGAGTGTGTGACAACAGCTCATTAAATTCTTTAACAATCAACGAAAAAAAAAACAAATTTTCAGTCATCCTTCCACCATTGGGGAAATCTCACTCCAACTCTATCCATTCTTACTTGACTCATATGTACAAACAGCAGCAACTTAAACAACACACAATTTCACATTCACAACAATCGCGCACACAACTGACACTTCAGAATCCACTATGACAGATACTAACAATAGTTTTTCAATTAAATTTTTCTTATTGGGCATGATGCTGACTTGCTGGATGACTCTGTAACAACAACTGTATATGATGTGGCTGATGTGGGGGCCCTTGACTGTGAAGGTACTGCGGCATGACATGTGGAGGAGGACCTGGCAGCAAGGGACACATTATAGGAAATTGTGGCCCTTGCGGTGGAGCAGGAGATGGCTGAGGTGCCCCAGGGTGATACTGCCCAGGTTGACCGGGTGAAGGAGTTGTTGACTGTGGTGGTGGTGCCAAGTACTGCAGTTGGTGCTGTGGTGGACTCTCATGATGTATCATTCGCATCTGAAAACCAAATATAATTGTAATTTTTCAGTAACATTTGCAAGTTATTATGTAACATGGGTTATTGGTTTATTTGAATTTAACCTACATTTTGAGTTTAGAATTTTTATTCATTCATCATAAAGTTAATATTTATGCCCAATTTATATCCAAACCATTCACAGAAAATAAATTCATATCATGTGAATTATCTACTTACCCCAACCATTTGATGATGATAAGGTTGAGCTTGAAGATGCTGTGGATGCGGTCCTTGTGGATGATATGGCATAAACTGTTGCAAAGGTGCAGGGGCTAATAACGGCTGACCAGTTGCTGCAGCTACTTGCATTTGAGATGCTGCCAATTGCACTGCAAATTTTGTACATTTGTCATAAATATCAGAAACATTTTCTCAAAATCATATAATATTCTTATACGGAGTGTCCCAGGGCTCAACATCAAGCCAAAACGTGACAGTATCAATCGCAACTATTATGATTTTTTTTTATCTTATGTAGTTTGAATATCATGAGCTTTTAATTAAGTACAGCTTAGAGTTCTGGTCAAACTGTGATTGTTTTTGGTTATTGTGATTAATTTTTATTATTTTTGTTCATTTAAACCATAATCGTAAATAATGTTTTTAAGACCACAGTAAAAGATTATAATATCAAATTTGTCTCAAGTTTGCTAAAATTTAGATTACTTGTTAAACTTTGAATTATAAATTTTTGAAGTTGATGAACATTGAAATGCCCTCCTTTAAAAACATGTACATGTCAGCAAGTTCATTAAAAGTTTGCACAGGATTGTAAAAAGACACAATTACTTGATGGTTTCATGCAAAAACAGACAAAATAAATAAAAACCTAAAAAAAACTTAATATTTGCTAACACATTTCATTCAGTTCAAATGTTTATATTCCCAAAAGTTCAATAATGAGATAGTAGACATATTTACCACGAGTAAGCAAATGCATTACAAAAAATTGTGTAATTTCTATATTTTTTTCATTATTTTACTTGTTTTATTTCTTTAATATGAACTAGCAAGTATTGTATGAAGTATTTTTCAAACAACAGAACTCCAAAGCTCGTGACTTTCAAACTGGATTTTTTTTTTATCAGGGGACAACCTGTATATGAAGTAATTGTAGATTATGCAATAAGAACAATAGTAGAAAAAAATGAATTATGAAATGTGATTATTCTACATTTACAAATGATGATAAATATTTTACTCACAACCTTTCCTGAATCTGTTAGGTTGACCAGCATGTCCATGCTGAGTAGGTGAAGTCTGATAATGAGCAGGCTGTGAAGGCATTACATATGGCAATACCATTGTGGGTAATGGCGGTCCAGCTAAATGGCCTCCATGATAGCTAGCTATAGAAGTACCTTGTTGGGCCAAAGTTGGTCCAGGAGTTTGTGGTGTATGTGGCCTATGTAATTAAATGAATTACTATTAGTTTATTGGCCGCATAAGTAAGTACATAGTACGATAAATATATGTATGTTTAAAAAATATATTTTTGTCAACTGAATTACTTGGTTATTAAACTCGAGTAAATAATAACCATTTGAAATTTAAAAAGAAACCTAAATTGAAAAAATCACAAAAAACATGAATACTAATGAAACATGTCATTTTCACCTTGATGGATTTGGTGTGCTGGGACTTCTTGGAGTAAACGGCTTTGCAGATGGATTGAATACAAATTCTTTTGCATTTGGATTTAATGTTGATTTTTTCAAACCCGAGGATAATTTATCAACAGATTCTGGAGAAGAACTCTGATTAGGTGAACTATTTTGTTGCTCAGGAGAACTAGATGGCTGTTGCTGATTGGATTTTGACGCAGAATCATTTTGCTGCACAGACACAGCACTGGTCACAGGTATTTGAGCTTGTTGATTATTTGAAGTTGCATTTTCATATCTACTCTGTGCCTGATGATTATTTGCTTGTATTTGTTGAGGAGGGGACTGTTGGTTTTGAGGGGGAGCTAGTTTGAAATCTTGCTGGAATTTTCTAAAATCCTTGAATTGAAAACAATGCGTGTTAATGAAATAATAGTAATAATAGTAAATAAATAATAGTAATGATAGTAAATATAAATAGGGGATAACTTACTTGTACTTGTTCATCTCTAGGAGCTCTTCTACTTGAAGGCATGTTTTGTTGCACATTTTGTAAATTTGATGGTGGTTGTTGTGGTGGTTGTTGCACAACTGTGATGGGTACGATAGTTTGCTGGTGTGGCACACCAACCTGCAAATTAAAAA